CATTGAAATACTAAACTATATATTATAAGGTATGCTTAAGTACACGATAATTATCAACTTTAATTGAAAAAGTAATACATGTTGTTCAAATACCTCATACATTAAGTAAGATGTATTCAATAATAGTTCAAGGAGCGATTCTTGTAGCCCTATCTAGGCTACCGTTTTCAGGCCACAAGGTGTCAAAAGCCGTTCGTTCCTTAAAAATACATAGATTTTTGTAAAACACAGCAAGGGGATATGAAAAATGAAATAAAAATAAAACAAAATGCTCTTATTTTTTAGAGCAAAGTGAAAGATATCTTAACGTATCATACTAAGATAAATTCAGATAGTTAACATATAGATTAACAAAAATGAATAAAAATGCCTAAAGCTATTTTTTTATCAGTTAAATCCGCCATGGTCCATACTTAATATGTATGGACTTAAAATCACTAGGTAATGTTTTCGAACTAGATTGGGATACAATAATTGTATTTCCATGTAGGCATTTGTGAATAAATGGAAGCATTTCGTGGAAGCGTTTCGTGCGATTTAGAAATAAAGATTTTCCCGGGCCGTGGAGTGTGGAGAGGGTGTTGCAGGCTAAAACACACCTGTCACGAGGCGGCTGTAGACCCTGATGGGAACACAAAGCAATATAAGCCCAAGTGACAGTCACTGTTGGCCAGGGACTCTCATAACTCAACCGTCTAATTGGTAACTCTGAAATCGTTTTGAAGAAGTTTTGCAGACATTTCCATCATGAATAGTAAACATTTTTTTCATACAGTTACCCGACAAGCGAGCTTCCTTGCACTGATAATAGGACGCAAAGTAGCTAATTCCTGCATTTACTTACTTAGCCGCACTCATTTTACTTTGTCGCACGTTTACTTCGTGAGCTCCCACTATCTCCGCGTTCCGCCATCTCCGAACCCAAATCTGTCCCGCCACCTCCGAATTCTTGAGTGACCCTTATAATCCCGTCACTGCCTGCGTTGTTAGCTGGGTTACCTCCCGCTATCTCCGCGTCCCGCCACCTCCGTGTACCGCTACCTCCGAATTTCAGAGTGACCCCTATAATCCTCGGTTACTTCCTGCGTTAAGACTTTCCGTCCAAACCTAACCTAACTGAACCTAACCTAACCTAACCTAACCTAATCTAACCTAGCCTAACCTAACCTAACCTAACCTAACCTGACCTAACCTAACCTAACCCACGGGTTAAATTTTCATTAAATCTTCCATCCACGGGGCTTCGCAGCCGTGGATGCAATGACAGCTAACAACGCAGGCAGTGACGGGATTACAAGGGTCACTCAAGAATTCGGAGATGGCGGGACAGATTTGGGTTCGGAGATGGCGGAACGCGGAGATAGTGGGAGCACACGGTTAGCTGTCATTACATCCACGGCTGCGAAGCCCCGTGGATGGAAGATTTAATGAAAATTTAACCCGTGGGTTAGGTTAGGTTAGGTCAGGTTAGGTTAGGTTAGGTTAGGTTAGGTTAGGTTAGGTTAAGTTAAGTTAGGTTAGGTTTGGACGGAAAGTCTTAACGCAGGAAGTAACCGAGGATTATAGGGGTCACTCTGAAATTCGGAGGTTGCGGTACACGGAGGTGGCGGGACGCGGAGATAGCGGGAGGTAACCCGTTTACTTTGCCGCACTCCAGAATTTCAACCAACACACAAAGTAGGCACGTAATACGTGTAGGGCCTATGCTTGAAAATAAGTCGGCAACACTGCTAAATCGATCAGCTGGTGCAGTGTTTATCTGTAATTCCATTGGACCATTGATACGACTTAACTTAACCCATAAACCTGTTGTTGCGTGTCAACATAAACATTACAAACCAACAATTAAAGTCAGATTTTGATTCATTATGTTTGTGAAATTTCATTCAGATTTTTATTTGCTAATTTATTTGTGAAATAATAATTTCATTTAGGTTTTGATTTGTTCGTGAGACAATTTTATTAAGGTTTGCATTGTTTATTTATGAAACTACATAGTAAAAGTTGACCTACAATTACCCATTATTTATGCTTTATAGTAACTGTAAGAAAAATATAATGTATAACTATTCTCGACGTTTCAGGATCTGGAATCTGATCCTGTCAACAGATGATAAAGTAACTTGATCTATACAAGATCGGTACAAAAAACACAGCCACAGTTGGAAATTAAAAAGAAACACATATTTGGACTATATAGGGTCATGGTAGTCAAAACCAGAGACAGAAAATAATATTCTTGGAAAATAGACGGTAGGTATTGACTGCAATAAATTATGGTGATTTTTAGATTTTAAGATACGAAGCAAATGTTATAGAGATGTGAGTTAAAATATTGGCTAAACTAAAGGTTCCAAGTTGCCTAATTATTCACATTGTAAATTGGCATTTACGTTGATTGTTTTACACTTGTAATTCTTATTGAAACTCACTTCTATGATTAGTTAACTATCGCGTTGAGTGTAACGAGACCATAGTTTAGTGTACCACTACTCACCTGAAGATGGAGTTATCTCCGAAACGGCCGTAGTGCAGTATAGCCCCTGATTGCGTAGACGGTAAGAACGAAATATATTATTATATTTTCACGCTATCTGTCACACTCAAGAATATAATTGGTTAAAGGTACAAGATGTAGTGTTCAACAGTTTTTAACTATTGGTTGTGTTTTCTACTTTTATAATGTGCTTTTCCATAAGCATACAACTTATGAATATTTTTAACTCTAGTCCTCTATTATGTATATTTTATCTATCCAGTGTTTTATTTTAATTTTATTTTTAATGCAATGTTAGCATTAATTTTTGAAGTATTGACCGATATTATAGATTCGAGCACCAGATCATAGATGATAGTACATAGATCATACACTGAAGTGGCTAGACCGTATAGGTCCTTTTCTAGCGATTATTTAGGGAGACATATTTGAGTTGACTAGTAAAGGCAGCAAAGGAAACACTTTCAATAGAAAAGGAATGGCTGAAACGGGGGGAAATACGGCCTATTGAATCGTCTTTAGCCGTTGCATCTAAAAAAGCAAACGATGTTATTGTAGTGGATTAGGACTACGGTATCGAATCTTTCTTTCGCGAGACTTAAATGTTTGGGAAAGTATTCTTTACCTCGTACCCGCAGTTTTTGTTGTAGAAAAGCTTTGTTGAAACAGTATCAGCAAATGCTTCGGATAGTTTAATCTTTTACGTATAATATTACATCTTCTTCGTTTCACGACATAGGAGTTTATATTTGATTCTTCATAGAGGATGTTTCAATGTAGAGACTTCACTTCTAGTAAATATGTTTTGGTAGATATGTGAATAATTATCTTTCTACATATGGAAATTCAGATTTTTTACTAACTGAAATATGACTATTTAAATACATTTTAAGTTGTTTGTGGGTTTTAAATAGAGATATTTATCTTTTACAACCACACCATCATCAATGCAATATACTTTAAAACAGAGGAACAACGTTCAGCTACCAAAACACAGGTTAATACTATTTATTTTATAACAGAACTATATTCTTCAATTTGCCTGAACTCCTTAGAGACGCCGAGCTAATGAAGTGATGAAGTAAAGTATGAAGTAATGAAGTAAAGTATTAAGTAATTAAGTAAAGTATGAAGTAATGAAGTAAAGTATGAAGTAATGAAGTAAAGTAGTACTGTATAACCTACGAGTTTATATATTTAAAGAAATTGAATCAATACACGTTATGTAAAACATAAAAACGTAATAAAAGTAAACAAACCATAATCTACTTTAGTAATCAAGTGTTATTTGTACGCTGAAGGGCTGACGGGAAACAAGCATTGCGATGGTGTGTGATATAAGGGCTAGGTTGTCTTAAACAAAGGAAATGTTGGTTTGAAGGTGCCGCCCTGAAAGGACATAAGGTGGCAACAATATATAATTGCAATCCTTACGCCTAACGCCTCTCACCCTTTATTCCCAACTTCCCCCTCCGTCTTCCTTGTAGGGTATAATACGTTTATTTTAATATCAAGAGCATTTTGCCTCGTCTCGCGCTTTTGGGAGTCAAAGTAATTATCCTCGTACCTAAGGTTCCGCTTAAACCCTCCCTCAAAGGATATTATTTTATGACATCGCTACGAGATTATATTCCCTACTAAACAATGTGATGTGGTTGTTGGAAATATGGTTCTTGATCAACTGAAATATTGTTAATACTGTGAATAAGTTAATATTATTGTTACACGCGTTTTTATTTGACGGAAAGAATAGAAATACTTGTTCTATATGTACTTGCATACATTTCAAAGTGTATCAAGAAGGTTGTGTTTTAGTGCTTAATTTATTGAATAGTTAATCTTTTAGAAAATTTAGAGAATTTAAACCTATGTAAGATGGCTTATTGAGTCAGCTGCCTTCGTAAAAACAACTGAAAACCAATGGTACAGTAGTTGTAAAATCATAATTAAATAGCATCAATGTATTTCCAGAGAAAATCACTACTATGTGATATAATTTACTATATGCTTCATGGTTTGAAGCTCGGCTCCACACTCGCAGGACCGATCATATGGCTGTCCCAGTGTTTATGTTGTAATAAGTGCACCTACTCTTCCTGGTTCAAAAACTATTGGGAAAAGTCAATTGCTTCAATTCTGGGTCAAGGTTTGTTTCATATACTGCAGTTAAAAATTGTTTATCCTTTTGACCACGTTCTTTACAAATAAAAAGGTAAAAAGGTGGGATGCCTGCTATACGGTCAATAATATGCGTGTTGTATGGCGACATAGGTTCTGAACTAAAAGGTTCATTTTCAAGCTAATAAAGTAGTTGAATAATCGTCAATAACATTACAGTAACACTACCTTTGAAAATCCAAGAAAGACTGTATGAACTATATAGAGTACAAATTAAGTGGAATCGAAGAAAATCAAATCTACTGAGTCAAGGACCAATAATCATACTCAGTCGATTGCAGAAAATGGTGAAGTTGCAACTGATGTGGAGTTGGTTTTGTTTCAGACCCTTTCTTCCAGACTTCCCAGTTTACCACCCAATACAACCTGGAGTCCCGGATAGCCAAGCCGATCCCTCGCCCTAGTGCTGGGTTCACCGGACTACAACATCCCTTGCTGCACTGTCGTCAACCCTACCTTGCAGGTGAGATGCCGATTAATCAAATGTTCAAAGTTTTACCCCACTCCCCCACTAGTAAAAAATAGCTGTTAATTATCTACGTAGCTCCTAACGATCAATGACTAAACTGTGTTTACAGGGTTCCTTCGCATAATAATGGAATGTTTCATGTAGACTAAGCTTTGAACTTTATTCAATAGCAAACTTCTGTTTCAAGCACCAAGGGTCCAATGCTGCGATTGGATGTAAATAAAGATTACTCACTGCATATGTAAATATAATGACTTAGTTGGTTAATATGTTTCACGTTTTATGTTCTATACTATCATCGGTGTATTTTATGTTGCCTTTTATCTCGTTAGTTTAGAAATAACTTTTAAATCAATTGCTATGGTTTTTGTAAGCAAGATGGAATACTCTTAGGGCATTATTACGATTATATTCAGCATACATCTGGGCAATGTCATAATTTGTTACGTGTTACATCCTCTACATATTTAAGTGGAAACGTCTTCTAAAGTAATTATAGATTATACCCCCGCACTACTGTCAGTATATTTGTATTAACTTATATCCCCCCTCTACTGTCAGTAGCCTATAGCCTATAGTGAAATCCCCACTGTCACAATATTCCTCCCTGAATAATTTAAACATTTCACATTGTAAAATGCTGAATTGTTCCACTATGTTTCAACTTTTTGCAAGTTTGTTTATTGTTTGAAAATGTTATCCATAATTCGTACTTGTAGCGACCATCATCCGATCTGAAATTGTATATCCTTGTTTAATTTCAGTTCCATCGAGTTAGGGGAGATCCTCTATTAGCTTTTGTTTCATAGAGGCAAGTTAGTAATAATTCATAAACGTTAAAAATATCGCTTAAGTGTGAGGGAGAGGGGAGATTTAAGTAGCTTTAGTGGCTGCGCCGGCTGTGGTTCCCCCTGTAAGACCGTTATTAAACTTTGAATAACGTTTTACTTAATATTATGATCGATCGCTGACTATTTTCTGTTTATTAAGTTACTTTGTTTGTTTAATTTCAAATTAAACTTGTCCTCCGATAGGTAACTTTCACTAACAATTCAATATGAAACCTCTGTTTGATTACTTTCACCGCCGATTTATAAAATTTTATATTTAGCTGAAGTTAACCAAATTAGGTTTTATCATATTTACTTTTGTTTCTATGTAAGTGACAATAACTTGAAAAAGGAACAAAAAATTAAATGACAATCTTACACCATTACAGTGTAAATATTTAGTTTTCCTCTATAGTTTCCACGACGTTCCACTATTGGTACGTCGAGACAAAACACACTGCTAAATAAGTTAACCTGAATGTGAAAGAAGAAGAAGAAAATGGGGTTTCAATGCTTTTAAAAGACAAAGTTACTTCGTTTGTGGTTTTAGTTTGAAAGCTACCATCACGGATTTAAAATTTTTACTATTTTTGCTGACAGGTACTTTAAATTTATATTAGTTGTTATTGCAGTTCTGGGGCAAATTCTCTACATTGAATTAAAGGAGGATTAGTGTATATAATGGAATGTGATGCCTTGGTAGCTTTGTAACTGACTAAGACCAGCTGTTTCTTTATCTTTAGGGATTGGATAGCCCAATCAAGGTTAGATACTAAGTTTCAGGATCTAACTGGTAACCTTATCACTACTTGGCGAGACTTATAATGGCTCAGCTACCCCTGATGATGTAGTTTTCATATCGCATGGTAACTTTAACTCATTTGTATGTTTCTATGTGTTTCTGTAACCCGGGACGTATCTTATTTCCTTTTATAATTAATGAGCCGAGAAATTAAAAGCCCCAATGTCTGTTAGTGGCAGGGCACAACAGTCTGGGTGTGCAGGGGACGGCCACAGTGTTTCCCCTACCAGGGGCGTTTCCCTGGGCTCACAGCTCGAGGGGCAAGCCGCGAAGAGGTATGATGCGGCGTGCCGTATTCAGCGACCTGCAGCGGAAAGGCTTGGAGAAACGATTCCAACTGCAGAAGTACATCTCTAAACCAGATAGGAAGAAGCTCGCCGAAAAGCTTGGACTAAAAGACTCGCAGGTATATTTTAATTTTTAAGTTTACTAATTAATACACCATCTTTTACTTTCTCCCCTAAATACTATTAGACGACACTACATGTAGCCTACAGTTTAGCAGTATGCGGAGCCATTACTGCTTCCGACCCTTCGGTTTTGTAAGCGATATCACACCCTACTGTCCAACAGGTATGGTCCATAAAGCAGGAAACCCGTTATCATCGCATGGTAGAACTTGTCATTGATTACAGTTTCATTCCTCTGGTAAAGATGGAAAAAGCATTTAAATTTTTTACTTATGTAAGAAACTTTCCCGCATTATTTTTATACTAAGAAGTTTGTCTATGTTCTGTAGTGAAGACGTATTACTTACTGTATATAATTTGTTAATTATTTACAACATTAGATAAGCAATACCTATATGGGGTTTAACTTCATCCAAAACAAAACAAATATTTAAATTAATAATGTCTGCATTAAGAATTATATTTAAATTGAAACCACGCCAATCCTGTAATGAAATATTTAAACATTACTAGTTAATGAGATTTTACTCAAATATATTTACACAACTCTACCAGTATCAAAACTACACTCTTGGACAGTCAAAACAAGCTGAGTGATGGAAAACCCACGATATGTAATTTTGGGTGTATGATGTTATGTTAGTTATAACAGTATTGTTAACATTAGTGTTTTCCTTTTTATCATTGGTAAGCGATTAGAGTAACTAACTATGATATTTACTATGGTAAAATCACAGAAGTTGCATTAACCTTTGAACCGTAATTGTTACAGAAAAGGGGGGTTACACGATTTTGTTTAGAATTATAAAGACCATAACAGAAGAATTCAAGTTATTGTAACATGTTATTTCCCATAAAAACCCATAAAAATAACAAAAGTCAGATTTTATGAAAACTCCGGGTTCTTATAATTCTAAACAAAATAGTGCAACCCCCCATTTCTGTACCAATTACGGTTCAAAGGTTAATGCAACTTTTGTGATTTTCCTTACAAAATATCATAGTTAATCCCACCGCTTACCCATGTGCATGATAAAGGTTGTTGACAAGCTAATGGGGGAAAGTATGTGTCAGATTGCTATTACAGTTTATTTATAAATTCGAACAATAAAAATTAAATTATAAGTTAATAACTCATTAATGTAATATCATCACATTTTGAAAATTCAGCAGAAAACGGACACTAAAACTATCAACCTAACAACTGTGTGGTGATACAATAGGTTAAAATCTGAAATACTATAACCATTACACATCTCACCTTAATGCGTTGAATCCTGTGTACTAATTCAATGACAGGAGACAGAGACGAATGTAGTGTATCCTTCGGCGTACTAAAATGATAGAGGATAGAGATGAGTGTGTGGTGGACCAATTTAAAGCCCCTGTCACACGGAGCTGGTTTTCTCGCCGATAGTAACTGGCAGCTAGAACCAGCAGAAAACCAGCATCGTGTGACTGATTCTCCAGCTGCTAGAAACACTTGCATGTTGGTTGCATGTTGGTTTTAAACAGTTTAATATTACAAGCGCTTGAAGAGTCACTAGCAGGGCATGTGACCACCCAGCTGTAGTCTCTAGCACCATTCCAGCTCTGTCTGACAATATCGTCTTAGTTCTCGCATTAATAAAAATGAATTTAAATTAATTGAACACATTTAAACTAATCAAGAATAAATTTAAACTTTCTTGTTTAGAAATCTTGTCATGCATTGTCATAATTTTCTCGTTGTTACGATTGCTACATCTCACATACATTAATTAAATGAATGTGATTTTTTGTGTTGATGAAAGATAAAGTCCTTTTGTTATACGCCTACCACAACTTATTCGATTTTAATTAATTTACATGCCCGTAGTAGATACAATATAATAGTGTTTTTATATATTAATATTTTATTTTTTCGTGGCACTTTTTACTTCTATGATGGCTGATCATTGACAAAACATCACTTCTAATACCAACATTATTTTTGTTACCTACGGAGTGTGTAGTTGCAACCAATTGCATCCCCAGACTTGTAATCTGTAGCGCTAGTTCTCCAGCTTCGTCTGACAGGACTTCTAGCGCGCTGGAGAACTAGCAACTAAAGCAGCTCCGTGTGACAGGGGCTTAAGGTAAAACCTAAAACGCAATAACAAACTTTTAAAATTAAGAAACTTGCAAATATTAACTAAGACAAAAGATAAAATATGTCAAATTATTGTTTTGGGTTGTAAGTGACTATATTACCGCAGTAATTAGTATTGGGTCAATAAACGGTTATTGGTGATGACACGTGACCACCATATGACCTCAACAAACACCACTTTTAAACTTTTTGGGGGACAAAATAAAATATCAAGCAAAACTCGCATTTTTTCGCTAATTAATGGAAAAATCTAAGACTTACATTTATGATTCTTTCAAAAATACGCACACACTACTTTTAGGGTCTTTGACATATATGCCAAATGAGATACGAATTAGTTGGTAAATAACCAAACGTGAGGTCACTTTAAAAAATTCACACAATCCCATGCGACGCGCAGGTCTATTTACCAATCCAGTTTTTTACATTAACACAAACTAGAGACTACCACCATCCTACATGCTAAATTTCAACTGAATAGTTCAAATAATAAAGGAGATATAAAGCATCGGGCAAAGGTCGATAGTTGAGTATAGTTCAAAACGCATCCCAGAGAAATGAAAGTTTTATCATCATATGGACTATATATAGAAACCTTAAATGTACTTTTCTCTTACAAAATGTTGTTATTTTTATCCATCTCTTACCGTTTCTGAGATACAAGTGATAAACATTTCTAGAATTGAAGAAAGAGTTAGGGAGAGCCTTTAGTAAACACTGTATGGTTTCTAGCATCTAAAATTAGTCTATGTTCTGATATTAAGTTTAATAAAAAAATAAAGTTTCAAAAATGCAAAAAAAGTTAAAGTTTAAAAAAATAATTCTAAGACTTACAGTATAGTTGTTTTTTTGCTTACCCTAGTTTGTAAAAGAAGGTGTTCACTGAAGGTGACTCGAAACCACAACTTGATTGAACAGAAACATCCAGCTGTATCTATACTGAATTTATCACGTATTCGATGGATGCAAATTAGTGGTTATCACAAGCATGTTGCAAAGGATGCACGTGGTACTTAGGTTTGCATTCCACTGTACAATAATTTTTCACAAAAGTCCACAAAATGTCAAATTACTTAAAAACTAAAGTATTAGGATAGTGGAGATTAGTAAGAACCATGATTGAGAGTCATCAGTTAAAAAATCTAAAAAAACCAAGCTAAATAATTTTGAAAGAAAATTCATGTGAGTATCAGAAGAGCTACTCACATAGTACAACAAGTCGTTTACATACTAGGAAACAAAATCGACGGACCCAAAAGAACGCGAAAAGGAGATAAAGAAGTGTAAACAATAATGGCGGATGATAAGCGGGGGGTAAAAACAGACGCGGTGACCCGCAGGTCGGAAAACCCCCGATAAAGATAGCGTCGGAGCTCGAGAATGCGATATCTTTTATCTAATTACTTTTTATTTTGGGTCAATTGGGGTTGAACGTTTGATTAGCGATATCGGCTGATAGCTGGAGGTCAGGGGTCAAGGATTGTAACGTAAACAATAACACACCAGGTAGTGCTGGGAGTCTACCTGTTGTCCTAGTGACCGTGTTCTAACACTATTGACGATCACAAAATATAGTTACACAGCTCAAAAATTATAATTGTTTAACTATATAGACATCTTAATAAGTAGCATGGCACTACTCTAAAGCATGCTAGTACAATTCTAAATAACGCATGTGTCTATGCGACTCTAAATATAGTAAACATTGATCTTACAAATTTCCAAATTTGTTAACAAAAAAATAAGTAAACCTTTACAGTTTTAGTAACGACCACTCAAGCTGAATTGCTGTCTCATTTGAGGGTAGATCAAGTTGTTTGGTCAATAAGGTGTGTGTGTGGAGTCTCTGGGCCTCTGCCGCCGACCAGACGGTCTCAAATCAAAAGCCTTCACAACCATTCGCAGCGCAGCCCCCTCCCATTCCCCCAGCACTGAGCGCCCTACCTATCAATTTATTTGCTTGATTTTATCGGTGTAATCGAGGAGTCGACCTTTGATATGAGGGCTTTATGCGATTTCCGAGACTGCCGAGACTGCTGTCAGTTGCCAGCCTCACTTTGCATCATCGGCGGGTCTGATTAATTGTACCTTTTGGTCCAACACCCCTGTTCCCCCGGGGGCTCCCCCAGATGCCGCCCACGACGTCAATGTCTTAACAACAAGTCTCTAACTCTGTTTACAATTAACAATATCGAACCTTTAACGCGATTTATTTCTTCTTGCTTTGTTGAATTAGCGAGTTTTCAAAACGGTCCAAGGCAAGATTGTTTTATGGGTTTATTTTTGTTGGATAGAAACAGTGTGGTATTTGTTCATACAATTTAATAACAATCTTGTTTGAACAAAATACACTTTACTAATGTCCTTCAAATTATTCAGATAGTTATCATCTTAGTTTATTTAAATCTGCCAATATTGATACTCGTGCATGGTCGAACCTTATTAAACTCAGTCATAGTCATATAGAAAATTCGGGCTGAAATCTGATTTAACTGGATCTTTTTTTAACACTATTGATAATCTATTTATGTAACAATGCATATAAATATTTTGAGGGGGTTTATATTTAATTTTCATTTACATAATCTATCGTAAATAATTGCGCAACTGAAACAAAAAAAACGTATTAAGATCGTTCAAAATCAACCAAATTACTTATTTCTAAGATGTTTGTTTCTTACTCATACAGGTAAATAAAATATTTATGTAGTTACTGTATTAATTAAAGAAATAAATCGATATTAAAACCTGAATTTCTAAATAATCCAAACAGATCAACAAAAAAGTGTTTTTTGTGTTAAAGCAACCGTTTTTTCTAGAAAAGAGCCTAGATTGGCTTCACTAGTGTGATTATAGCTGATATGT